CTCCACACCCAAACTCATACAAGGTCACTTGGATCAACTTGACCGCCTTGGAAGTAAAAGAAAGGAGTCTTATCCCCGTCGAATTTGTGGGATACAAGGAAAAGGTCTGGTGCGATGTTTTAACCATGGATGTTGGTCAGATCATCCTTGGTTGTCTATGGCTTTTCGATAATGACGTTCATATCTATGGGAGGTCTAACACCTGCATGTTCAAGCATAATGGAAAGAAGATTAAGTTCTTACCCTTCCAACCTAAGTCTACCAAGGAGGACGTAAAATCCACTCCCCTTAAACCCAATACATGCCTAAACCTATTAACTACGAAAGACCTGGATATTAAACTAGTGTTAGGTTTAAACCTTTTACGCCTTAGTAGCTCGGGAAGTGAGTCCATATCTTCAAGAACCTATCCCATAAGAGGTTAAGCCCCTCCTTGTAACCTTTGGTAACGTCTTCCCTGAACATTTACCCAACCAACTCCCACCTCTAAGGGACATCCAATATGTCATCGACTTAGTACCTGGAGCTTCCCTTCCCAACCTACCACATTATTGCATGAATCCTACAGAGCATGCTGAACTTAAGAGACAGGTAGATGAGTTACTGCAATGTGGTTTTATTAAGGAAAGCCTTAGCCCATTCGTTATCCCCACCCTCTTGACCCCCAAGAAGTATGGCTCGTTGAGGATGTGTGTTGATAGCTATGCTATCAATAAAATCACGGTCAAATATCATTTCCCTATTCCTCGTCTAGATGACATGTTAGGATATGATGACCGGAGCCACCCTATTTTCTAAAATTGGCCTCAAGAGCGGTTATAACCAAATTAGGATTTGTCCTAGAGATGAATGAAAACTACTTTTAAAACTAAGGATGGGTTATACGAGTGGACATTTTATGCCTTTTGGTCTGAGTAATGCATAAAGTATGTTTATGAGAGTTATGACATAGGTCCTCAGACCATTCCTAGGAAAATTCATAGTAGTCTACTTTGATGACATTTTGAACTATAGTAATTCGGTGGACCAACATTTAAATCATTTAAAATAAGTCTGTGAGGTTTTGAGGAATGAACAATTATATGCTAATCATAAGAAATGTATGTTCATCACAGATAGTGTTACTTTTCTCGGATTTATTATATCTTCTAAAGTAATTTCTGTTGATATTGAAAAGTGCGAACAATTAATGAGTAGCCAGAACCTAAAAATATTAGAGATGTTCAGAGTTTTCATGGACTGGCCACATTTTATCGGAGGTTTATTCGGAACTTCAGCACCATACTAGCCCCTATAACGGTCTGTCTCAAAAAGGGAGACTTTTTATGGACCCTAGCTGGCTGTAGAGCTTTTGATGAAATCATGAAGAAAATGGTAGAAGCCCCGGTCATGCGCCTACCTAATTTTTTCTAAAGTCTTTGAAATCACCTGTGATTCCTCAGGCATTGGCATTAGTGGCGTCCTGTCCCAAGAAGTTCATCCCGTAGCTTACTTTAGTGAAAAGTTGAATGACATCAGGCAGCGATATTATACCTATGATAAGGAATTTTACGCTATCATTCAATCCCTTAGGTATTGGAGATATTACCCGCTCCCCCAAAAATTTGTCATCTTTTCTAACCACGAATCCTTGCGTTACATAAATTCCTAAAAGAAACTCAATGCACGACATGGTCGTTGGGTCAAATTCCTTCAAGAATATACATATACGATCAGACAGAAGCCCGGATCTGAAAATAAGGCAACAGATGCTTTAAGCCATCGGATAATGATAACTAAAGAAATGAGGGCTGAAGTGATTGGATTTGAATGAATTAAGGAAGATTATAAAGACTACCCTGATTTTAAGAAAACATACTCCTTACTGATAACTAGATGTGAACGAAGAGTTGATGATTTCTTTTTGGAAGGCGGATATCTATTCAAGCCAAAAACTCTACATTCCCAACACATCTCTTAGAGAATTCCTCGTAAGTGAAATACACGCTGGAGGATTAGCTGGTCATTTCGGCAAACCAAAACCATTGTGTCGATAGAACACTGATTCTATTAGCCTAGCCTAAAACACGACGTTAGTAAGCTAGTGAGTAGATGCCCATTTGTCAGCTAGCCAAGCAGCGAAAACATAATACGAGACTCTACATACCACTTCCAGTACCCAATTGCCCTTGGTAGGACTTGAGCATTGATTTCATCCTAGGCCTACCCAAGACCCTTAGAAAGTATGATTCAGTTTGTGTGGTCATTGACCAATTTTTTAAGATGACCCATTTCCTCCCGTGCTCCAAAACTTTTGATGTTTCTTGGATTACGGAATTATATTTCAATGAAATTTTTAGACTGCATGGATTACCCAAAACCATAATTTTCGATCGAGACGTTATGTTCACTAATTATTTCTAGAAAATCTTATGGCTCAAGATGGGTACAAAACTCCAATTTTCCACTGTTTTTTATCCCCAAACTGATGGGCAAACCAAAGTTGCTAATAAAAGTCTGGATAATCTTTTAAGGACTTTGGTATGAGAACACATTCGAGAGTGGGATTCCAAACTTCCAGTAGCTGAGTCGTTTATAACAATTATGTTAATCGAGCCACATGTTTAAGTCCTGCTGAAATTGTGTACAGGTACCAGCCTAGACAGCTTATAAATTTAATCCCTATGTGTCCTAAGGTTAGAACATCTGAGTCTGCATCTGCATTTGCATCTCATCTCTAGGAATTGCATAAGAAAATTAATAAAAAAATTGAACAAAGCAATGCCAACTATAAGCTTAATGTTGATCACAAGAAAAGATTTAAAGAATTTGAAGTTGAAAATTTTGTAATGGTACAGATTAATTCGGAGCGGTTCCCTCAAGGTTTGTTAAAAAGTTGCATACTAGGAGTGGAGGACCTTTTAAAATAATTTCAAAAATAAACAGTAATGCTTATATGTTAGACCTCCTAAAGGTTTTAATATAAATCATACGTTTAATATTGAAGATCTAGTAGCGTTTAAGGGACCAGAGTTTAACCCTACTAATCCTCTATATGATGAGGCTTGTGTGAACCTATCTAGTGAGAATCCTAGCATACCTCCACACCCCAATCTGCCTCATCTACCTAATGCACAGAAGATTGAAGCAATACTTGACGATGAAATTATTTCCACTAAAGAAGGTGGTCGCTAAAGGTATCTAGTTCATTGGAAAGGAAAATCGGTGATAGAGGACATGTAGATTGAACAGGATGAGTTGCAGAGATTGGATCCAGATCTTTTAGAGTTATACAAGAGTTCTCGAGATGTTCACTCGACGGGGTCGAGTTTTCTCCCACCCAGGGAAAATGATGAGGACATCAACAGAAGATTTTGGCGCGTTTATAAGAGGAGGGATCAGAGATCGACGGCTACGATCAGGAGCCTTTATTTTTTATGCATTTTATGTATTGTTTCTTTTATATTTCAGTTTTCTCTATTTTACCCTATGGGTATTTAGCTTGTTATTGTAGCCATGTGAGCATTTTAGTCCTTTTTCTTTTGTCAAGTTGAGGCCTATATATAAGACCCCTTCTATTATATTTGAGATGATGATTTGATGAACAAAATTTTGAGTTTTTGTCTTCTTCATTGTTGTGAGCTTTGAGAGAAGAAAGAAAATCCTAGGTGAGGGTTATTGCAATACCCGTCAGTCTTTGGAAGAGTCTGAGACTCGCGGCTCATCTTTTTTCATTCTCCCCCTTACATCCAGCCACCACCCCTTTTCCCAAAACCTATCGACCTGCTCTCCCTTGTCTTTCCCTCCTCCTCTTCCCTAATCGAGCCCCTTCCAACCCCATAGTTGTCAGCCTCCCTTCGGCTCCCCTAGTCGCCGGCCGCCCCTCCAAATCCCATATATAGCCGCCAGCCTCCCCTTGGCTCCCATGCCGCCTGTTGCCCCTCCAAATGCCCCATGAATTTTGAATTTCAAAATTCAAATCCCCCTTAATTACCTTCCTAAAATAACTCATATCAATTTGGAAAGAGATGTATAGAGATGATGGTTAGAGAGAAAATGAGGTGGATAAGGGAGAAAGTTAGAGTGAGAAAGTGAGAGATAGATAGATAGATAGAGAGAGAGAGAGAGAGAGGAGGCATGAGGGTTAGTATAAGATCCAAATTTTCAGGTATGTAAAAATTTTAAGTAATTATATCGTCAATCTTATTTTAAAAGCTTAATAAAAATTTACTGTACTTGTAATTAAGTAAATAATAGTACTTAATTTAAGGAAATAACTTACTTAATAGTAGATAATATAAGAAAATAATTTAAAGATTCTCTTAATTATGAAAAGATGCATACTATGGCAGAATTCCATCAGAAGGCTGATATTGTAATTGGAATTCGGTTATGTTTGTGTGTGGACCCTCTCTCACATTTATCCAAAATTCCCTTTATCTAGTCTGTTTCATGTAAGCAATATTCATTCTCAAGATATTCTTCATATAACTTCTTAGCTTTCTAACGACAAACTCTCTCATACAGATTATCAATTTCTGATTAATTTCTTTAATATAAAGGTCATATTTATCTCAGTAAGGATTCTTCTCTCAAACAACAAATCCTCACAAAATTCTATTCTACACCTCTTGCAGGTCATCAAGGTGTTCTTAAACCCATTAAATGAACCTCAACTAATTTTTATTGGCTTGACCTTCATCAAGACATTGCCGATTTTGTTAGCAAATGTTTGTCTTGTTAGAAAATCAAATCATCTACCCTTCCTCTTGTTGGACTCCTTTCTCCTCTATCAATATCCTTGCAAATTTGGAAAGATTTGTTTATAGGCATCACTATTAGTCTGCCTAATTCTAAAGGCTATACTGCTATTTTGATAGTCATTGATTGCTTATCAAAATTCACCCATTTTAATCTTCTAACTTCAACATATTCCGCATCTAATGTCGCAAATCTCTCTCAAAGTTTATTAATTTAATTTTGAAGATGCTTCATGATTTGACAATTGATTCATCATGCAGGAGGTTGTACAGGAAGATGATGAGAAATTGGTCGCTTTAAGATGCGAGCTGGGCGATGAGGTCTATAGGGCTGTGAAATCGGCTTTGTTGGAGATTAATGAGCATAATCCAAGCGGCAGATACGTCATCAATGAACTCTGAAGCTACAGAGAGGGACGGAGAGCAACTCTGAAAGAGGCTATCGAGTTTGTGATGAAGTATTTGACGTCGCTGAAGAGGAAGCGATGACTGCTTTTCTAAGTTGATTAGGGTCCTGTCGTTTATGTTTGCTGTCAACATTTTGTAAGATGGAAGGTTTGGCTGCCGCTCATGTTTTGGATTCATTTTGCATGTTTCAAGAATCACTTCAATGTAATTTTTTGGTTGCCCAATGTTGTTTAGTTAGATGCAAATTTATTATGTTAGGTAATGTAAAAAGAATGTAATATAAAAAAAATACAGTATAAAAAAATATTTTAGAGCTGTATAGATGAGTATAAAGTAAATTCAGTTGAATTATTTTTTTGTTTGGTTTAAAGTAAAAATGAATGTAGTATAAATTTAAAGAAAGTGGTAACTAGGCACGTTCTCGAATCAATTTGGAAGAATTCTTTCTTTTATCCTTTAATAACAAAATTAGAGCTATCTAATATCATTTATTAGTAAAAAAAAAGAGAAATAAATTATATAATCCAAAACATTAATGTATACCTATATTCATTACTTTAAAAATTATATATAATATTCATGAATCATTCAATCATATCATGTCAATTCAAATCCTTAGTAAAAATGCAACTAATAAAAAAATTGAACTAGAAGGATCATAATCAATCTCATTCCCGCCTTTTGCCTTGAGCTGAAATCATTTAAACTGTATATAATGAGCTAAATAGCCCAGTAGACGACACTAAAATTCTATAACTGAATTCAAAACACTGTAGATAAACAATATACATGTTTTTAGTCACTTCATAATAATAACGATATATATGATCAAGAATTAATGCAGAAACAATAAAAAGTTACATGTGATAGTTGTAGAAATCACAAAAACAGTAAAATAGTATGGTAGGAAAGCTAGTAAATATAATTGTGGATAAAAATTCAGTAAACCAGTACGGGTTAGATTTATAAAGCACAATACTGTCAATAGGTAAATCAATTGTATAAAGAGAACAAAATTAAAGCATCAGGAAATAACTGTCAGACTCAAATATCATAATCATTTATATATGCTAACCAATGAGTCTATATCAGTATTTTAATCACATGCTCATTATATCATATGCTCAGTCTATAACAGTCCATATTTTAATCCAGTCAAATAATTTTTTTCATGAGTTAATATAAGTCCAAATTATAAACCGTCTTCGCCATAACATTGAAATTATAGTATTTTAATTACATGATTTTTTTATAATTTTTTAGCAATGATGAAAATCTTTAAGAAATTAACAGATATCAATACAAGTGAGGATTTTGAGATTGTCAGATGTTCATTTTGCAAACATATTTCATCAATATTTTTTTAAATTTATTTTATAATATATTTTTTTTTTTATAATTTTTGAAGTCCCAAAAGATTTATATAAATTTTATGAATTAATTTTTTAAATGCTTATGCTTATTTTATCTCATATTATGTTAGAAATTTTTATGAATTTATATTTAACTATTTTTATTGTATTTTTTAAATTATTTCATCCCACTTGTGCAATTTCTAAAGTATTTAAATAAATACTAATCACATTAAAATACTTTTTACTTAAATTTAATCTATATTTATGTCTAGAATTACTAAATGCAAAATTAGTTTTGATAAAAAACAAACACATAAAGACTAAACATGCAGTCCACTAATTAACAATTACTAAGTAAAAAAATTCATAGTGTTTTCGAATAAGAAAACACATATAACTCATACTAAATGGTAATTAAAAAATCATTTTACATTAAAAATTAAAAAAAAAAAATCACATGATGATTATAATTCAGATGAAAAAATATTGTGACGCATGCCTGATAAATTTGTAAGTATAAATACAAAATCAATCACAACATATTTTTATTAAAATAAGAAAAAAATTTAAATTACGAACTATAAGATTCACCAATAATATTGATATTCATAAAATTTATATAAAGTTCAAATAAACAAAATTCAATGATGTAAATCAAATATATTTTATATAACATAAAGAAGACCAAATTAGTTGTTTCTAAGAATCCTCAAAATCTAGCATAAATTAATGAATATGAATTTTAATAATATCATATTACAATTAAATTATATTTATGATTCTAGATAGGCACATATACTAGAGTATTTATCCACTATGGGATCATACATAGAAGGTACGCAGTAAGAATATAACATAAATCTGTTGAATATAAAGTTTTTTTCTATTTATACTGAATATAACAATTTAACTAATGAAAATTATGTTTTTATTCTTTTTTATGTTTCAAACTAACATGAAACTTACATGCTTTCTAAAAAAAATAATAATAATTAGATCTCTCTATTTTCACAAATCAAGTAGAGCTTAGACAATTTGTTTTCCTTCTTCATTTACAATTTCAGTTATTAATTCATTTATTTTTATGTTCATTAATTTTTAATGTATTATGTTTCCTCTTTGGTGAATGCTGATGAGTGATGTTCATTTAGTAAATTTTCAATTTTTTTAAAATCATTGATATTTATTAAGATTATCAAAAAAATTTATAGATATATTTGATATGTAATGTAGGGGTGTCAAAACGGGTCCGTTGGTCGGGTTCGGGTCACCCGGATTGACCCGGGTTTAAACGGGTTAATGCTAATCCGACCGGTTTTTACAAACGGGTCATAAAATCCAACCTGGACCTGACCCGTGTGGGTTACTGGGTTGACCCGACCTGACCTGCGAACACAAATACGCCACTTTTTAATGACGTGGATGGTCAAGAATTCGTCCAGGTTGGAGTTTGGTGTTTGCTTAGACGTAGGGTATGGGTCCTGGGATAGCAATGTCATGTGATTGTGAGCTACAACTGAGGTGTCAGGGTCACATCAAACATGTCAGCTAGCAAAAAATCGCAGGATAAAACAATGCATTTAAAAAAAAAAATTGTTGGACACTCGACCATGGGACGGATAAAACAATGCCTCTAAGATAAAATAAATAAACAATGCATTTAAATTCAAACATAATAGGAACAAGATTAAAAAAATTAACCCGTGGGGGTATGTTTATAAACTTATATAATATACTTATATATTATATTAAATAGGATAGTTTGAAACTTTAAATAAGATTAAAATATATATATATTAAATAAGATAATATTAAACAGGTCACCTTCGGGTTTCTGGGTCAACCCGAATCCGACCCGATTTAAATAATGAGTTAACTTGTCGAACCCGAACCTAACCCGTATGTCAAACGGGTTGACCCAAACCCAAAAATTTTCGGGTCGGGTTCGTGTCGGGTTTCAAGTGGTGTCAAATATTAAAACCCCTAATGTAATGACAAAGAAAAATAGAATATCAAAGACAACGATACGCTAAATGTCTATTGAAAAAAAAAGTACAAGCTAACAATATTGCTAGAAAAAGAAAAAAAATTCTAATTTAAAGATTGCCTTTTTGCCATCAACATTAAATTCTACATGTTCATTTCTACTAAACTATAATTAATAAGCTATATTTATTTTGTACTTCTAAATAATTAATATGTTGTATCTTTGAATAAACATATATTTAAGATCAAATATCAACGATGATAATATAGATTACAATTAGTGGCTAATCCAACCCATTTTTTTAGGTGGAAAAACTTAATATATAAAAAATAAATACCAAAAATTGTTTTTTTATATATTTCATTAGCAAAATTCAAAGCAAAGCATTGTATTTTATTATAATTTATGAAATTAAAAAGAAAATTATAAACTTTGCATTCTTCTTTGCATTTTGTAAAAATGATGCATAATGACTTCATTTGTAACAGAATTATAAGACACTAGACAGTAATTGAGTAAGGCATCACCCATTTTGTTACACAGTCGTTGCTTAATGATTTTCATTGCAGAAAATACTCTCTCCATCGTAGCAGTAGCAACTGTAATGTTAGTGTCAAAATAATAAGTCTTTAAACCAAGGGATACACAATATTTTTTTGTCCTTTACAATCAGTTTTGAAAGAGCAGCAATGCTAGTCAAATATATAAACTCATCGTCAGTACGCATATCAATAATATATGTAGATACATGATGCTCAAGAGATATAAGATAATTCATAGAGAAATCTATTGGAAATAACTCTGCAAGATGAATTAATTTTTTCTTATCATAAGCATAAAACATATTAGTTAGATTTAAACATGTCACATAAAGAAGTAACTCGATACTAGTTTTAGAGAATCGGTTTATTCAGTTCCTGAAGTTGCATATCAATAACTACGTAGAAGAAATCAACTCAATAATAATAAAAGTATGTAATTTTTGCACATATTTGTACTGATTGTCCATGAGCCCTGAATTTAGAATTCATATTTGAATTTTTAATTTTAAAAACATTACAAAAATATGACACTTCTTCAAGTAAAGGCACTCATTCATTTTTCCTCATCATCTGTAATCGTTGCTTGGACACTTATATCAATTTCATTATATTTATAATATCTTGATCATTTCTTTGTAATGCTTGTGATAATTCATTTCTAATCCTTAAAATTTTAATCATTAAATGAAGTGTTAAGACAAAGTTAAAAGATTCCATAACATTTATTAAAACACCAACTTTAACTGATTGTTGATCATGTATCCCCTCTTTCTTGATAATTTCAAGCACTTCGAGTATCAAAGCATTTATTTTGCTTAGTCTGATTAATATTTATAAATGCAAACTCCAACGGGTGTCAACAGTATGATGCAAATTAGTTTCTTGGTTTAAATCTCAACCACCATTTAACTCTCTACTCCCTAAATGAAAAAATATTTTATCATAATGAATAGCTTTTAGAGTATCATTTTTCTTGTATGAAGTTCCAACAGTATTTATAATTCTTGAAGTCATCACAAATAAATGTTTTACTTCTTAATAATTTTTTATAACAGGCACAAAATATAATTGGAGTAAATGAACAAAATAATAAATATAAAATGATTGAGAATTATCTTTTAGAATGAGTTCTTTCATACTATTAAACTTCCTTCACATATTAGATGCTCCATCATAACCTTGACCTCATATTCTATATAAATGAATCTCCCAATTACTTGGCCCAACTTATCTACATATCTCACCGCAACAGTTAAATATTCGTTTGCAGACACATTATAAGATTCATCAACTAGAATTATGAAGCAAAAAACACCAATATAATTCATGATTACAACCAA